TCCTGCTGCCACCCAGACCGGCTCTGACCCAAAAGCTCAGGGCAAACCTAACCAGTGCTAGAAACCCAAGGTCCGGCAAGATGCAGGGGGAGCAATCACGCTGTTCCAGTCAACAGCGAGCAGAAGACAAAGGACAAGAAGTTGTAGGTGCTACCTTGGGCTGGCCAGAAGCCAAACTGGAGCAGGCTGCCTGTGAGAAGCCAGGCACAGGCCGGAGGGACGGGGAAACGGGGTCACAGCCCTGCGCACACCCGCCGATTTCCATCGCGCCCCGCACCAAAATTCACCCCCCAAACGGGGGCGTGCAGCCCGCGACGGGTCCCCCTTTGAGACTTCCTGGGTGGAATAACTCCCGTTAGTTGTTAGGAGCCGGGTTTTGACTTTCAATCCCTGTAGTTTGAAATCAATATCATTCTGGTGGAATATTAATAACCTGATCTGATACAAAAGTTGCTGAATCTGCATCAACACGGACAGAAATTTTGGCTTTTCCAATGACAAGATGAAAGTTATGGTGACTGCAGTGGGATCACAAAAATGAGAGGTTTTTTTTGTATTAAATCAGAAAACACTTAGCTGAATTTTATGTGACAGGTCTGAGGAGCAGATTTGGAGTTGCTGCCTCAAAGGACTTAAGTCTGCAACTTTTCACTCTCTTCTGTTTTGGAAATGAGCAACCATTAAAAGCAAACATGAAATTATTCCAGGAAATATTATTCCATCCTTGTTCCACTTGCAAAAATCAAAAGGAGTTTTGTCCAAGAACAGAGAGCAAGATACGGTCATAAAGTGGGAATTTATTGCAGAGATTTTTTCCTAAAACCGTGTCTTCAGCACAGCTTAGAGTCAGTTGGCTTTACAATTAATAATGCCATTAATATGTTCATGTATCACAAGATGCAATTTAAATTATACAGCACTTGCACAAGCTGCCACAAAACCTTTAACAGCCCTTGCTTGCAGGGAGATTATTTACCTCCTGCAAGTTCTAAAATTTTGTTGAGATTCAAATAATTCTTTAACAGTAAGGGACTGCAGTTTAGAGATATAAAACATCCCTGCTCTTGCACCCGCTAATGGCAAAGCACAACACGGCGACACAACAGAAATTAAACTTCAGGTCCCAGAAAAAAGGATTATTTCTCTCATTAAAAGGCAGGTCCCCCTGATGAGCTGGGGACTTCAAAATCATTTTTAAAGGGCCAATTTGCACCCTCATTACAGCCAATGTAATCCAGCAACAGGCTGCATGAAGTTGATGGAATTAACCTGAATTTAGACTAGATATCTAAGAATTCAGCCCTCGCCTCATATTCGCACATGCTATGAGTAAGAGCCCGAATGGAATGATCAGCTGTTAATAGAAATTTGCCTTCAAGTCTTAGGCAGATTACAAATTAAGCAGAACATAAGCCCCAAGCAGAAATTTGAAAAAGTATGTGTGTCAAATCAATATTCTTTTAAATCCAAGATGTCCTTCTTTAGACATCAAATATCACACTAACCATGGACATAAAGCATATGCTGTAAATATCTTAGTATTTGATCCAGCAAATGTTTATTCCTATGAGTCATCCTGGTCACTTTAACCTGAGCAAGGATTGGAGCCAATATTTTCTTCTTAAATAAATGGGATCACTACAGAAAGACAGCTCTTAAACCATCTCCAGAGGGGTACAGGGTTAATATTAATGATATGAAGAAATATCAGCTAGAATGAGTGATGTGTATATATATTTATACTTTTATATATCTATATGGTGTGTATCCAGTAAGAAACTAAGTGCTCATAACAGGTTTGAAAGTAACCTTCTCCTAAGCACACATACCCAGAACTGTGCAGTAAATCTCTGTGTTTTGGGAACAGTCTTAGGCACCTTGTAATAAAATCAGATTACTTCTGGTGCAATTCTTCCAGCAGTGTAACCATCCTATTTTACAGACTGAAAACTGACAGCTGAATCATAATACACGACTGCATGTTTTTACCTTTTGCTTTTTTTTTAATGAAAGATGCCATTATTTCTCTATAGCTCCAGAAGTTTTTGTTCCTGTATTGCCTGTATCATACCTTGAAAGTTTGCTCACAATATTACCACAAGGGCAGCTTAAACAGAAAGAAGAAATGGGTTTTTTCCTCAGCATGTGACTCAACTGAACTTAACTTTTTCAGGCATGGACAAACAAAGGCCAGAAACCACTTTAACAATATCCAAAACCACTACAGCGTCCAGGAGCAGCAGCAACAAGAAAAACCCAATGGTTCCAAGTGACACCAAACATGCTACACACATCCCCACACATTATCACTGCTCAGCTGCAAACTCATAGCCAGGGCTACTTCATAATTAAGTTTCTGCTGTTCTTTTCTAGCTGTTTAATTAAAACTCCTTTAAGCTCACTCTGTCTTTACTAAGACTCTTGTCAAATCAACATTTTTCCTTGGCTTCAGTGTTCCTCTACACCCCACTCAGCACCAACTAAGAAACTGTGGAGAAGGCAAAACCACAATCTGAACCTCAAGAGCTGTAGTTCCACTCTCCTGGCTGAAAAGGCCAATAATATTTACTTCACCAAAGTGGCATAAGCAAGATTGATGCTCAAAATACATTGAAGGTGTTTAGCGATAAAGTTCTTGCCAAAGGTATTTCTAGATTACTAAGAAGAAAAAGTGAAAGAAATTCTTTGCATCCAAAATTTCTGCTTTGTCAGCTGATAAAAACCTGGAGCAAACAACATGCAGAATTGTCCCTACTGGTATAGGAAATGCTTCATGACCTAATTAAACACTGGTGCAGTGTGAAAAGAAGTGTTTTCCCATAAAGGTGAAAAAATAGATGCACTTCTAAAATGTTTACCCTTTGTGAAAATAATTTTAAAAAGTTGATTTTAAAAACTTGCAACTTCAGAATGTGATCCAAATATAATATCTTCAGTTTTGTGTTTCAAGAATGTCCACTGCGTTAATTCCTGTATTTCTATTCCCAAAGAAAGTGTGTGTATGTGTGTATATAAAAATACATATGTTCACATACAAACAAACATGCAAGCTTCCCTCCCACCCCCAGAAGTAATTTAATACCCAGGTCTGTGTCATTTTTAACAGCACCATCTTACCATCAGTACAATCTAATATTCTGTAATGGTATTCCCCAACTATTTATAGAGATAGAATACATCATACATTACAGACACACATTCCCAATCTAGGGTTGTAAGAAGAACCCTACATAATTTTAAATTACGCCCTAATGTAATTATAATCATTTTTGTTTTCATATTCAATTGCAGGTAGCATGTAGTTATTTACATGAATTTTCGTGTTAGAAGCATTCCCACAGAGATTTCCATATTAGAAGTGCTGTAGAATAACTGAGCATGCAGCTAGGCAGAGCATGCTAGCCATACAGGTCCAAATTTTGCCCTTGTCCAGCTCTGTAAAACCGCTAACCTGCAAGATTGCATTTCCAAACTTTATCAGCACGAAGAGAAAGCAAATATGCTCCTGCTAATACAGGAATACAGCTGCATATGTACTTTTTCTCCCTGAGGCTCTGCCATTTCGGCTTGTATTTCTTACATACGCTATTTTAAGTCAGAAAACACCAGCACAATGTGATGTTTCTTGCCCTTTCTTGCCTAGAAAGGAGCACTTAACAAAACACTGGGAGCCATTTACATTCAGAAAGCGCCGGGCAGAACTGCTCCCTAACTTTCCAGCACTTCTGGAGGTCACTTTTCATTTCTTCATATCAAAGGCAGGCACTTGTTTCTAATAAGTTAACAACTCTCCTGAGAAACGTGGGTGGCTGGTATTTCATTGTTTCATAAATATTTTTATACTCGTAACAGCGTTCAACTTAAAACAGATTTCAAGAGGAGAAAAATCACGACTAGCACCGTGCTCAACAGAGGCAGGAGCGTAAACTTTTTTTCCTTGGTGAAAACAGAGGTATTTCCCTCCTCCTCTCGCTTTATTTCGCCTCGCTGTTTTTGTTTGGTTGTGTGGAGGGGGCCGCTTTGTTTTAATTTGGGTACAAAAGGCGCACTGTATAAGTTTTCCCTCCCCCTTGGAAGTGTACTTCCTTTGAAAGCGCTCCTCTGCGAACAAAGGCTGCCACCGGCCCTCCGCACCAGCGCCGGGGACAGCTGTGCGATGGAGCTCTTCAAAACCTCGCCGAGAAACGAAAAATTTAAAAAGAAAAAAAAAATAAAAACCACCAAAAAAAACCCCCTCGCGGTTCCTACCGAAAGGAAGTTTTCCAGGGACAATCTCCTCGGTGCTGCTGTAACTGCGACTTTGTCTTTTTTGGATACAATGTTTCTGCTGACTCCCGAAAATTTTCCACTTGAATGTGCAATTAACCAGCAGCGGCGGCGGCAGCAGCTCTGGAGAAGGAGAAGCAGCAGCGAAAAAGGACATTCCTTCTTTCATCTTTTAGAGGAAAACAAGCGAGGGGAGGGAGGCAAAGCCGGGGGCAGCGCGGCCAGCCAGGCCGGGCCGCCCGGGGATGGCTGCGGAGCGCTGCGAGCCGCTGCGCCCAGCCCGGGGCTGCTCCCGGCTCGCCCGCTTCCCCGCGGGGAGGAAAAAAAAAACAACAAAACAACGAAAAATGTGAAAAATGCCAAGGATCGGTGCGCGCGTGTACGAGAGGGAGAGCCTGTGTGTGTGTGTGTGTGTGTGTGTGTGTGTGTGTGAGTGAGTGAGTGAGTGAGTGAGTGCGAGCGCGCCCGGTGCCGGGCGGTGACTCAGGCCAGCGAGTGCGAGCGGGGGAGCGGAGCGGAGCGGGGCGGGCGGCAGCGCCTGTTGCAGCTCCGGCCGCGGCCCCGCAGCGCCACAACTCCGCGGCCGGCAACTTCTGCCCCCGCCGCGGCCCCCGGCCCGCCCGCCCCGGCACCTGCGGGGGCGCCGGCTGCCCCCGGGCCGCCCCCGGCCGGGACGGGCCCCCCGCCCCGCCGCACAAAGCGCCGGCGGCGTGCGCGCCCGCGGCCCCGCTTACCTCCGCGCCGCGGCCCCCTGCGCGCACCGCCAGCGCGCCGCGCTCCGACGGCAAAACTTCGCCCGCCGCCCCCGGGCCGCCCCGGCTATTTATGGCCCCGCGCCTATTTTTAATCCGCCGCTTGGCTATTTATACCGCGGCCGTAGGTTGCCGCGGGCCGGCGGACGGAGCCCTCGGAGGATGAGTTGCTGCCCGGCCGGCGGCGGGGCGGGCCGGGCTCCCGGCCGGGCTGCGCGGCGCCAGCGATGCGAGGAATGCGCGGAATGAGGGGAGGAATGAAATGAACGCGGGAGCGGGGCGGCCGCGGGGCGGAGCGCGGCCCGCCGCCCCCTGCGGCCGCGGGCGGGCGGGCGGGGCCGCGGGCGGGGCCTCCGCGCCGCGCTG